ACTGTGCTCGGTCCCTAATTAAACAGTTTTGTGCTCGGCAGAAAGCTCATTAATGCCACATGCACGGCTATCCAGGTCAACCGGGTTACCCAGGGTCATGCTGCCTATAACCTTCGGAAACAGTGATACTGGGAACTTTTTTTGACATATTTACCTTCGACAGGTAAATATAATAAAGTCTAAGGCTCAAACTGACAGAATATTATTATTAAGCCTAACATTCCTGCTGGGGTAAATATTACAAAGTGTTTATGGTAGAAGTAAAAAAACATATATTTTCTTATATTCTTATATTTATTTGACACATTTTATGTTGTAACCTCCTGTATTTGCAGTTCCTGAACCTGATTCTGGTATGTCAGCACGTATGTTCTTTGTAAATGTCAAGAGTCTCACTATCACTTCAGAGTCGAGTTAAAAATTTAGTGGTTCTGGTTACCGAGTGACCCGTGTCCTCAGTGCAGGAGACAAGGCGCCAGACGCTGGACATCATTCAGGAGTTGTTGTCAGGTGGTGACTTATAATGCTATTTGGTTAATCAAGAACCTTACTTCAGTACATCTCATCTTTGTGCCATAGTGACTCAGAAGCATGGACATTTTCAACACTACACCGGCTAATTTCACTGATGGGTTGTGTTTCTTTGATTGAAGAGCTGTTAATCAGTGGAATCAGTAGGAGTAGTGGGCTGGGCGATATGGTCAAATCAGAGATTAGTGGAATGTCTATATCTATATCTATATTTAAATAACGGAACATTTAAAACCCCTAATAATGCGTTAATTGTGTACAGCAATTCATCAAATAAAGGCCAGACATTTGAGGATTTGCACATTTTTCTCTTAATTATCAAAAACTGAATCCTTTTGGGTTTTTCGACTGTTGTTTAGACTTGACTTCGGACTTCAGAAAGGGTGTATATGAAAAAAAAAACAGACTGGATAATTAAACTGATGTTCAACTCAATGAACTGTCATCCATTGTTTTACCTGAGACCAAAAACAACAAAACAAAACTTTATTAACGAAGTTCTTTCATTCTAATTTTCATTTCTTGAGCAACAGAATTGTGTAATTGAAAACAAACAACTGAATCGTAATGATACAATTCAATTGTTTTATCAATAGTAGTCAGTAATTGTTGGCTCAGTAGAAAACAGTTAATGTCTCACTCTACCCACTGAGCAGCATCGGACAATGGGCAAAACTGGCCTCAGAGAGAGAAACGTGGTGCAGGCAGATACCCAACCTGAGGTGTCAAACGGAGAGTCTGACACACAATAGGGCCTAATCATGGAGCTGTGAAAAGGAAACCGGTGAGGACGGGGATCAAGTAACCGAGCGGTAACTACACACCACAAAGCCAGGCGCGAACCAGCAAGAGGAAGGTGGCAGTGGAGGCGCGAAGCCGGTGCTCAGGTTACACAGAAAGACTGAGTCACTGACAGGAAGCATGGCGTTTCGTGCGGGATCATCGGCAAGAGCCAGAGCAGAGAGAGTGTGCTAAGTGACAGCTACTTCATTGCATTTTTAAATAGCCAACCATGAATAATTGAGCTGGTCGCCATACAAAGAAGGGGCAATTGATCTCTAGGGAGAGAAGCGTGATATTGCTTGGATGAAGACACTTTCTTTTCAGCTGGCGTGACACCTTAGCTGGCACCACAGCACATGGCGACACAAAGAGAGCGAGGTGTCATTAGGATTCAGGGAAAAGAGATGACTCGCTCTTGCTGAGTGAAAAGAACAGCGGAACTCAAGACGTCGCCTAATTGATGGAGGGGATTCAATCTGCCTAATTGATGGTAAAACAATGGATGGGGGGGTACAGCACCGTCCATCAATATGAGTTTCTGTGAATCGAGAGGGGTGACAGAAAGCGTTTCCACTGAATTCTGAGACCATCCATTCGTAAATTAAAATTCCAACCTCATTTTTAGCAGTCTTCATTTTCTCGAACTTGAAATGCACACCTGTAGAGTAGAAACTCCATCAAGGGATACTCAATTGGAATCTAAATTATTTATCACTCAAGTGTTGCACGCTAGGTTGATCTGTTGGATACCATTCAAACATCTCCATATTTTAGTGCTAATCAGAATTTCTCAGCTCCAACACATACAGACAGATTTATACACACCAATTCTTCTAAATGTATAGAAACAAGCAGAACTATTTACTCCATTTGTCTGCCTTTACATAATGCTTGCTCTTTTTGGCAGTATCCACACTTTGAATGTATCGTCATTAACATAATTATAGTTTTATCCGCCCAGATATCATAACTACTCAACACTCAATACTACCTTCTACCAAAGGAATACCATGGGCCACTGTGGTAAGAACTCAACCTTGATACATGGGTTGCCAGCTCTACCAGGTGAGCTCAAAGGGTGTCCCATTGATTATTTTCTACAGCTGTGTATTAACCACAAACAATATTTCATTCATCTCTACAGTATATGGGTAGAGGCAAAAGTCTCAGAAATCCTTAAACTTAAACTGAACAAATAAAACTGTATGTAACTAGAGATAAGATAGAAAATATGTTTTTTGATACCTTGTGTGAACTATTTAATGCAAAACCAAAGACACTGAATTAATTAGGAAGTTAAATCTCTATCTAACAGCATGACGGTGTAGAGGTCAGCAAGGTTTGCCAACAAGACCACATAAATATCCTTATAGAAACCTGTAAGCCTTTCTTCATTCAGCAGACTAAGCACAAAAAATCCATTGACAGTCATGATTCTAACAAAAAGGCAGCAAACATTACTGTAAATGCATTGGGCAAATCACCTGTTGCCTTTGGCATAAACTGTTTCCAGCATTCCCATGTTTTGTAATTGTCTGTGTATTCACCACCTCCCCCTCATCTCAGTCAGCCATTACAATATATCTGGGAGGCAATAAACATGCATTCCTCAAAGCAAGCAGCTTCTACGGTACCACAACACAGGGGCGGGTGGAGGTGGACTGCCTGCTCTTGCATTGGGGGTTAGTGAGTAAGCACTGAGTCAGATAGCGGGAACAGAGTGTACCTGTACAGCAACAATGTAAGCGGTTACTAAAAGAAGGATGGTAATTTTCACTTTCTGCGCAGTGAGACGGACTGCCCCCTCTGGCTCTTTGAATCACTCATGGCGTCACTGGTAGAGCAGGAATACAGACTGGCACTCAAATGAGTCCCGTTGTCAGCCAGAGCAAAGGGCGCGGTGGGGTGATGTGCACAAACTCACACAATAACACACATGCAAAGGGCTCAAGCGGAAGCAACGGAAATTACAAATGTATGAATACACAAACAGAAGCTGACAGATGAATGTGCTCACAGACACAGACATTTATATTTTAAAATTTAAAATAAGCCATTAAAACAATGAAAAGTAACGTAGAAGGAGAGGAAAATGTCAAAAAGGGATTATTCATTAAATTTTTCTAAATAATAAAAAATAATATTTATGTCAGATGTAGATTATGTAACAGAAACACATTAAATTAAAAGAAAAACTTTCATCGTAAAAAAGTTATGAACTAAAAATGTATATCAAAGATTTATAACAGGCCACAAAAGGTGGCTAAATCGGTTTAACTTTCAAGACATAAGGCACACACACATACACACAAATGTGTTGCCCATGCCCATGAGGTGTCTTCATCTCCATGAGGAGAGCAGGCCAGACGGAAATGAGCCCTCTGTTATTTGGACTGAGTGTTGTCATTAATTCTGTCTGCATCAAACACAGCACATGTTATTTACACTAAAGACCACAATCTGGCTTTGAAGGACTCTGAGCATGTGTGTGTGTGTGTGTGTGTTTGTGTGTTTGTGTGGGAGGGGGGATCTTTCCTCTGTGTAAGACAGTCTCCTGTTAAGTCACCACAGTGACTTTGGAGTGCCAAACAGCTTTGTTCTCAGTGTTTCTGCACCTTTTTCCATCTCTTCAACCTATTTTCTTTTTCCCGCAAACTGAGTGTCTTCACAGGGTTTTGTCATATCGTGTTTGGTCTTGTCAGAACATCACTGTATTTTCTCCTTAGCAACAGCATAGTTTCTGTAGAATTCATTTTATAATTCTTCATAGAACTCAAGTTATTTGCTTAATTTTAGGTCTTATCAACCAACATTTTCTTGGTTTTGCCCGTCATTACTATCATTAATGTTGAGATTGCACTCACAGAGTTAAATGTTGAGATCTGTGTGCGTGGTTGGCGTCTCAACAAACAAGAAATACAAGCCATCAGACGATCCGACAAGTTATAAACAAACAACCATGTCAGACAAAGTTATATGAAAGAGAAAAAGCGGCAAACAGTGAAATGAATTACCCAAACTGTCAACTGTAAACATCCAAAACAGGTTACAGACTTCCTGGATCAACATTGAAAACCTTGCTGACTGTAGTCGTGTATGCACACAGTTTTCCTGTGCAACGAAGGATTATTAATGCCATTTTAAGTGCTTTCACTTTGCTTGCAAGTGAAGTGGTTTATTTTGACCTAAAAAAAGACTTTATCAATTTCAGTCAAAAATATTTTTACAAACATTTGGTGCAAATCTTAAACTTCTGTGGACACTCACGAGGCCTTTTTGACAGTGAAAGTAGTTCAAAGTGCCACAGAAAACTGCCATTACGAGTATTTCAAGATCATAATGAACAGATGTAGTTTCCACTCTTTTTCTTTACAGGCTTTCTTTAGTCGTAAATATTTAGCAGATGAAAACCACATCATCTCCAAAACAATCCAGACTTTTCAGGAATGATGCTTTTTTTTTCAAAATCGCACAGTGAGGTTGTTACAGGCTTTGATGTTCCAATTGTCATGAAACCAACTGAGCTTATAAATGACTGTGGAAACTTTCAATTCAGTCATGAAAAACACCCCAAACTGGAACGGTCTGGGTTTCTTCTACCCGCCAGCAGTTACATGGTTTTACGGCTGCGACAAGTGCATGTCTGAGAGGGCGGGCAGTTGGTGAGACTGCATGTTTCAGTCTGCCACTTTAAAGAGTTATGTTTTATTACTAAACACAAGAATGTTTTTGTCAAAGTGTAAATTTGTTTATTTACGCGCTGAAGATGTGAAAGTAAAAACAAAAGCATTTATGAGCTTTTAGAAATTCATGCAAAACAATCAGCTTTGACAGTGATTGACAGCTGAATCCCCGCCCTCGTTGCGCAAAATGTAAATGCAGACATATGTGGAGCCCAGCAGGTTTCATTAAAAACTTGCTCAATAATAAATCTTCAGAGTGGGAAATTACCAGCAGTCACAGCAGATATGACGACGGAAAAATATGCTTAGTAGGAAAGTTCACTCGCAACTAACCATTACATTTAAGTTCTGTTCTGTTCTTAACATCGACAAACCTCTTTCTGTTTCATAAGATGTCATTCCGCTCAGACATTTGAAGCCACATCTATTTTCTGTTCTGCTCGCTCTCCATCTTCTTACATTATTTTTCCAAAACTTGTCTTGACAGGCCCTAAGTAACGTTTCAATTCCTTCACAGGACTTAGTGACACTGAGGGGCCCTTTCTGTTTGCTGTGATTTGAGATCAAGGCTAACTGCACGCACATTCAGCCACTAGACTCAAAGCAGACTGTCAACATGTTTTTGTTGCAAAGATCCAGATGTTTTTCAAATATTCCTTTCCCTGACTGGATTGGACGAGACTCTTCAGTGTCCAGTGAGATTAAAAGGACTTTAATTACGTTTAATTGCACTGTTGCTTAATATAATTCCTTCTTATTACCACTTGTTAAAAACAAACAACTTTTTCAGTCATTCTGTGCAATCCTGAATGGTTTCATACCCTGGAAGTTATCAAATGTATTCTCCACACCATTCCAGCCTTTGGTGATCTGTATAGAAAGCCCCAACACTTGACTCAAAGCGTGGCACTTTTCCCCCGCTGTCTGGCTCGCAGCGTGCTAATGTTTTCCATGCGAGAATCAGCCGCTTATTCATACCCTTTTCTTTCTTTTTTGTCCTCAAATAGGGAATTTTTACCTGAGTCAGGATAAAGCTGTGGAGGCTTGGCGGAAACACCCGACCTGAGGCCACTTGTCTGCCTACGCCTCCTGATCCTGCACTGAACCCTGAGGCTCACCCACCAACAACAGTTCAATGGAATCGCACACAAACTAGGGAGAGTCATAGGTATCAAATATACAACAACTGATGAATAATTTCCAAAAAGGGCAAAGCAGGGTGTCGCACAACTCTAACACCCATTGTTCTGTTTCTTGGCATGATTTAGAGACTAATTATTTCTTAAAACAGTGAACTTACAAGCAGCGTTCACATGAAAATATACATAAATAATGTTTCTCTATCTGTTTCTCTCATTGTTTCACTTAACATTAAGTGAAAAATAGCCCAGAAAAAGGTTTAATTAGGTTATCAAGCTAGGTTAATCTATGAATCATGTGAACAAAACAAAACAAAACAAAAAGACCCGACACTTACTCATCTTGTTTTGAGGCAGGTATTATGGCAGGCATGAACACACTGCAGGTTGTTTTTCAGATTTGGGCTATAAACTAGATTTCACAATAGACATTTATTGTTTTTTAACCCGAGTGATGAATATGTCAAAAGAAGGTTACAGACTCCTCAGTTGCACAATATTTTCAACTTTTAACTGTCTGTAGGTGTATGTGGGTGCCAAACAGAGGAACAATTTATTCATCCCCGTCTGTAAACTGAACAGGAATGAATTCCTGAATTTTATACATGAATAGAAGCAGGGGAAGTTACCTTTTACCTTCCAGGTGCATATTTTAAATAGAGCATGACCGTTATCTGTAGAGAGTGGTAACTTGCAGGACAAAGTGAGCCAATGTCTGGTTTGGTAACATCAGACAACACAGAGTGATTGTCACACAGTCATCTAGCTACATCTACTGGGCTGACGGGCAAACTTCAGCTGTACACTCAGGAGTCAGGAGACTCAGATCTTACTGGCTAAAATAAAAACGATATTCTATATAACTGGGGGGGGAAGTGTCTGTTTAAACTTTGTGTGTGTGTGTGTATGTTTTACCTGGTATATCCTGAAGGGGATGTATCTGAAGCCTCCCTCCTCGGTAGGATATTCCATCAGTTTCCTGTTAATGGCCCAGAACTGGTCAAACTTATCTGTGACAACACAAACACACGCAGGTCAACAAGTGTACGATATCCTGATGATAAGACAGGTTGATTTAATCATATCTTCACCATCCTTCTCCAGCATGCATCAAGGGAAGGGTCAGTTAAGGACGATCCCTCTGGCTGGCACAAACAGCAGTAAACTGAAAACCTGGATAAAGTGTTCACTGGGGCTGGTTTTCAAACCTCATTTTTAGTACCAACTAAAATGTGACACTGAGTACTGAAAGATTTGTCGTCAGATATTTCATGATTTACATGAAGATTTTGCATTTTTAAACTAATTTAAACAGTTTAAGTTTGTCTTCCTTTGTAAAGGGAAGAAGGTGGGCTGTAGAAAAACGTGTATATTTCTCAAACTAATAAAAATAATTCTGGTAGTGTAACTAAAACTTAGGCATTATATTGTTCCTTCCATAGTACCCCCGTATATTTGGTAATAACCAAGCTATAGAAGCATTTCCCGCATTATGCGAAAAACGGAGTTTAAAGAAAATATCCTCAAAGGGAATTTTTTTTTAATGTTTTCACTACACACCATAGCAAACTTCATAGTACCAATTAACATTTTACAACACTTATTTACATTCTTTAGTTGCTTTTCAGGTAGCCATACAAAGTTAACTGCATATGTGGTTGCACTGAATGATGACTAATGCAATGAAAGAACTCGCAGTGTGATATGTAACGGAGCATGATGGCAGGCAGGATACAATGTGTGCAAAAGACTGGAACTGTCCTTCAGCTTTGACAAACACTCATTTCCGTAAACCTCCACTTCTTCACATGGAGATCAGAGGTCACGCTCAGAAGAGAGAGGCAGCTATAAAAGGTTGATGGAAAGTGTACGTCTGGGAAAATGTAGCAGGCCGGTTCCTTACTAACACAGGAGCTATGAATATGAATATGTAGATGATAGACTGAATAGTAATTGTTTTTTCCTTCACATATATACGGAGAGAGATTTTCAATTAGTATTTTATCGAAATGTATGTACAGTGTTTTAATTGTATATGAATGTAAACAATGTTCATCATGTAATGTATTGTATGTTAGTAATGGACCCCAGGAAGATTAGTGGATTACCATGGGATCAGCTAACAGGGATCCTTTAAATAAACAAATAAACAAATAAGCTTGAACCTTGGTCATCCAGTTGAAGGACAGCCTTTCATCATCAAAAATGATTCCGCCCAGCATGTGCTGGTTTCAAGCCCTCCACCTCCCCTCGACTCTCGCTTTCACATGAGCCTTCTGAAAACCTTCTGTTTTCTCTCTCCTGGAGGAAAGCAGGAGCCATACTTGTTTCTCTCTCTCTGTTTCTGGTCTCTTTTGGACGTGAAAGTTTTGGTTTCGAAAAGGTTTCATCTCTCGCTTTCATGTGTAACAGGTAAGGCCAACTCCTTTTTGAATTAGTACGTAAGTATTATCTGTGTCTTTCTGCGTGTAATGGAGTCATAAACAGAGAAAAACGGCATGAACCACACCCTGAAGTTCAAAAACAACTCATAGCATCTTCTTTTAGTCCCTGTCCACAAAATATGTATTTTTATCTTTCTTTCTTATGCTGTCTCTTTCTCTCCTTCTCTAGATGTGACATTTCTTTCTCTATTAGTTTCAGGGGAAAGTGGAAGAGAGATAAGCAGCTGATGTTTTTTTTGTGAGTTCGTCTGTAAACCTGTTCAAAACATTCTCAGTGCCAAATGCACAGTGCACAGTTTTGACAGTTACATGAAAGTACTAACCACAAATGTAACAAATAAGCTCCAGTTTTTTGGCTATTATTTGCATTGCAATTAGTTTGGTTTCCTGTCAACTGTGTGTTTACTTTCACAAACATCAGATTAATGTGGAGACAAAATGGCAAAACATATTCAATGACAGAACATAATTTATATTGAAAAATATAGTACAGATATTGTTTTCTGCCTTTAAATTAGTCATTATTTGAGGATTCGCAGTTTATTATTTCCTGAAGTAGGACAATTATAGATACTTCTGTCAAGTGGCACCTGCCCCTCATTGATAATATCAAACTCCATCAGCATTATCCAGCAACAGAGCATGAAGCAGTAAATGCACCATTTTCAGTGTTTTACCGCACACACAGATGGATTCAGTATAATAACAATATATTCAAATATCTGCTACGGCCAATATGAGGCATTCACGCATGTAAAAGTGCTGCTGACGTTATAATAAAGTCATTATCTGTTACACGGCTTGTTCATACAACAATGCATAATACATATTTAAGTGGTTTTAAACCTTTGTGGGTCTTCATCAATACAGCAGCTCCCCTTTATCCTTTAATATATGTATAACTAGAGCAGATGTTGATGAATCAATTCCGCTTCTTAAATGTGAGGATGTGTGGCTTTTTTCACTAATTTACGTTGAATATCTTTGATTTTTGATTTTTTTTTTGAGACATAACAAGACATTAATTAATCACAGAAGTAAGTTGCAACCCTATTTATAAATGAATTCCATAATTCAATAGGAAAACATGTACTGTGTGCTAATACTTCACCATTTAAAAGGAGGAGAGGCATGAAAAGTATAGATCAAAACAAGGTGACATATTTTTATATTACTGACTGAGCTACATGACTGGTAGCCAAAGTGTTTATAGTTGCTTTGTTTGAGCAACTCGACCTGCAGTGATTCCAAGAATCTCACGCTGTCTGTTGGGTTTTGATTTTCAAAGACGAGCACGAACCCGCATCACAAGCTTCCATGAATCAACCCCACTGCCCCAGCTTCACCTACACAAACCACCAGTCACCACCAGCAGCCAATAGGAAATCAACCTGTCTGGACACATGGGTGTAAACGGAAAGGGAAGCTGGTGGGTGGGAGTGGTTTTGGAAGTGGAGGCTTCAAAGACTGCTATCAGACTAAAGAGAGACTCTGGTGTGTGGTGTGTGTGTGTTGTGTGTGTGGTGTGTGTGTTGGTGTGAGTGTAAGCATGTGTGAATCTGCATGTAGGTGTTCAGGGGACAAATGTGTGCATCTTAGTGTCAATGAGTGAATGTGTGTTATTCCCTTGCAGCTGCTTGTGGTCTTTCTTCTAGAAATGTGTGTGTGTGTGTGTGGTGTGGGTGTGTGGTTGGTGTGTGTGTGTGTGTTTGCCTGCCCTCCTCACCTTTTAGCATGCACATTCACAGCTGCTAATAGAGGTATGTGTGTGTGTGTGTGTCTCACCGTTCTGCAGGCCCATCCACAGCTGTTTGTGGTCTTTCTTCTGCATGTCGTTGACGACTTGGCTCTTGTGCTTGAGGGCGTCGGCCTCCTTGATGCTGGACATGAAGTGAGCCTCGATCACAGAGTTTGACGTGCAGTGGAGCAGGTCACGATCTGGAAAATTCTGACACCACATGCCCAAGACAAACATTTTCACTTAAAGCTACTTTGTCATTTTTGGCCACTAGGGGGCAGAAGAGCTCCACAATGAGCTAGCTAATATGCGTTAACAACTGTGCATTTACAATCTACAATCTGTAGCAGACACAGAGCAACACTGTCATTTATGTGGAGTCGTATTTGTGTCCAACATTCATTCTCCTTTCTGCACTGTTTTGATCTGGATGACTCTGACCTTAAAGTGCACAGTGATGCTCCAGGGTAAGACCGTGTTAGAGGCATGGAGGTCAAACAGAACTCCAATTGGATAGTGCCTGCAAACAGGAAAAGCAAACAGGAATGTTACAGGTGAAGACCTTGTGGGACTACAATCAGCTCAACGTCACAGAAAGACTGAGGTCAGTTCCCAAGAAACTAGTGTCACTCTAGTTATTTGCTGGAAAATGTTACACTGAGCAGCCAAATCACCTGTTTTATCAGCCATCTGGAAACTGACCACAGCATATGGCCTCCATATTAAAAATGTATTAATTGGTGTTTTACAAACAGATTTTATCCTAATATACCTTTAGTTTAACTGTAGCTTCAAAGCGCTAGCACACAGAAATGGTGTCATCTGTTGGCAGCTTTCTCTGGTTGCATTGTGTAAACTTTAGTAGACAGTTTACAGTTCACTAAACATTTCTATTTGTCACGTCCTGTGTTTAGATTAGGGACAGTCCATTATGTTTCTGTCAACAGGGATTAGATGCTTTTCTTTATCACAGTCTCAAATCAGATGAGTGTATTTTCTTAGGTATTTTCATGGTCAATCACACGAACTAATCACATTGGTTGTTTAGTTCGAGTTCCCCTAAAGCCAACAAGAACATTTGTACATTTGTGAATTTATAAAATGACTAAAACTGATGAAAAAAACTCCCCTCTCCCACTAGAGGGTTGCCAGACCCTAAAGTAATGTCTTACAATTGTTGTTTGTCCAAAAAAAAACAAAAGTATTATCTGCGATTAATCTGTCATATAAGATAAGATGTTCCTTTAATA